ATCTCTGAACCAATGACTATTGCCAGGGGGATGGAATGAAAGATACTGTCTGAAGCCAATTCCAAAGCCTGCCGTGAAGATCGTGCAGCTTCTTTCCTAGGAACCGGACTGCCTCAGGGAGGGATGGATATCTGTTGGGAAAGAGAAGGGAACAGATAGGGTAAATAACTAAAAAATTTATTACCTCACATCCAGTTCAGACATATTGAAAAACTTTCCCAGGAGATGTGAAAGCCTCTACGGAGAAGAAATTAATGTGTATGTAAGAGCAGATGGGTTTTCCTTCCCACATTAGTCCCCTAGTTAGATCGGCTAATCTGCAGAGTATTTCACCCATAGCTCATTGTTTTTTTGGAGACATCTCAGCAAACACCTTTGTCCTTGGGTAATCAAGGTGCTGCACTTCATTTATTCAAATAGTTATTGGGACAGATGTCCTATCTTTCAGTCAAAGGGAGCAGTGTGTGTAAAAGAAAAATGTATAAGGGGAAAAGTGACAAGCTCCTCATACAAGTAATTTTATGTTCCTGGAGCAGAGCTTATAAGAGAGAAGCAAGGAAGGTAAAATGGGATTGAATCATAAAGGTCTTTGGCTTGGCAACTTTTTTTTTTTTTTTAAATATATTTTATTGATTTTTTACAGAGAGGAAGGGAGAGAGATAGAGAGCTAGAAACGTCAATGAGAGAGAAACATCCACCAGCTGCCTCTTGCACACCCCCTACTGGGGATGTGCCCGTAGCCCAGGTACATGCCCTTGACCAGAATCGAACCTGGGACCTTTCAGTCCGCAGACCGATGCTCTACCACTGAGCCAAACCGGTTTCAGCGGCAACTCTTATTTCAATTTATTTATTGAAGTAAAACACTTATACCCAGTTGGCCAGGGTGGCTCAGTAATTGAGTGTTGACCTATGAACCAGGAAGTCACGGTTTGATTCTGGGTCAGGGAACATGCCTGGATTTCAGGCTTGATCCCCAGTAGGAGGCATGCAAAAGGCAGCTGATCAATGATTCTCTCTCATCATTAATGTTTCTATCTCTCCCCTCTCTTTTCCTTTCTGAAATAAATAAAATATCTTAAAAAAATACACACACAATAAAGTGCATAAGGTGCATAATTTCCAGCCAACATCTCAACAAATTTTTATATATGGGCACATCCATATACACCCAGATCTAGCGGAACATTCCCAGCATTCCAAAGGTGCCTGCATGCTCCTTCCCAGTCAATACCCATCCCCAGAGGGAACTACTGTTTTGGATTCTATTGTTATGAATCAGTTCTACCTGCTCTTAAATTCCATAGACATGGAATTTTACAGTATGTACCCTTTTGTATCTGGTTTCTTTCACTCAGTGTAATGATAATGAAATGCCTCCATGTTGCTTGTTTCAGAGTTTGATTGTTCTCTTGCTCCGTGGCATTCCACTGAAAGACTATTGCACAATTTGTTCATGTGATCTGTAGTTGGTGGACATGAGGGTTATTTCCAGTTCCGTGCTAGTGTGAACACAGCTATTCTGAACATTCTTATACATGTTCTTTGGTGCACTTATGCACTAATTTCTCTGAGGTATATACCTAGAAGTGGATAGGCATGTTTTGCTACAGTAGATACAACCCAACAGTTCTCCAGAGTGGTTATATCAAGGGAGTTTTGACTTTAGCCCAAGAAAGACTGGGAATGGTATGAAATTTACATCTCACTTTGGCAGCCATTGTGGAAGGTGCACAGAAAGGAGGTGAGTGTCCAGACAGGGAGACCGGTAAGGAACCATGACCAGGGCAACAGACAAGGTGGGGGATGATTCGGCCCTGAGCTCAGGCAGCTGTGTGGAGGAAGAGGATGGTTTTGAGAGATGGTATAAAGGTAGAGTTGATAGGATTGTTTGGATGTGGTGGGGAGAGAGTGAAGTTCAGGATGTCTGCCTGGTCTCTGAGTTGGTGTTGGCAGAATGGAGGTGACTTCTCTCAGAGAGAGAGCATTGAGGAGGAGCGGGTTGGAGGAAGATGAGCTCCCTTTTGAACAGATCTAATCTGAGGGACCTGTGAAGGTGGAGGTAGCCAGTAGGCAATTGGTAGTACAGGACTGAAGCTAAGGGGAGAAATCTAAACTAGGGATTTCTAGTCTGGAATCCCAGGAATGAGTGAACCATGCGGAAGAGTGTGTGAAAAGGGGATTCCCAAGATGATCAACAAGGCTTTTCCTGCCTGGCCAGTGTGGCTCAGTGGTTGAGCATCAACTTATGAACCAGGAGGTCACAGTTGGATTCCTGGTCAGTGCACATGCCCAGGTTGTGGGCTTGATCTCCAATGTGTGGGGCATGTGGGAGACAGTCAATCAATGTTTCTCTCTCATCATTGATATTTCTGTCTCTCTTCCCTCTCTGAAATCAATAATTTTTATTTTATTTTATTTTATTTATTTATTTTTTTTAAAGAAGGCTTTTCCTGAGAGTTAGGAAGAAAGCCAGGAGCTTGCCTGCTTTGGTAAAAACTCAGGGGAGGAACACTTTCTAAAAGGAGTTTCCAGAGACTGCTGAGGAGTCAGGCAGATGGTCATTGAAAAGTGTCCTATGAACACTGAGCTTAAACTCGTCACTCACAGTCAGGGATTCTCCGTCTCAACAGTCTGGAATCAGAAATCCACACCATTGAGACGGGGCTGGCTGGCCGTGCTGCCTCTCCCCTCAAGCCTGTTTCACAGCCTCAGTCCAGGGGCAGTGCCTGTGGCCTCTCAAAGTGTGCGGGGACCGCCGCTGGACAATAGAGGGCAGACAGCAGCTAGTGCATGGTGCACAGAGTCCCTCCTGACATCGGAACACTGAGACATTGACGTCTGAACACAGATTTCCCCACGGAAATCCCCAGCTGTGAGCCATAGTGGCTTTAATCTAAGTGTCAGAAAGATTGCCCGTACTCTGGGAGACCCAGCTGGAAGCACATTTGCTGAAGGTTGGGGCAAACAAACCAGAATCCAGGACGTTTTAAAAGATCTGTGACGGTGGTGAACTTTTCCAGGAAACACAACAAAAACGGACCCTCGTGGGCAAAAAGCCCTGGGTCTTCACTTGTATTCTTACTGAAATATAAACCCTGGAGACGGGGAAGGGGAAGAACAGCGCACGTCTCATTTCTTTAGAGGCACAGGGGCTGGAGGAGGCTCCCGCGGTTTAATAGGCAGCTTTATGTATTTATATGCTCTGACTGGAGCTAAAGAGCGCCACGCCACACAATGGGCAGCTTCTGGTTGGATTTTAAAAGAAAATAACTTTGATCATTTCAAAAGCAATGAAGCCTGATGCAGCGCAGAGAAAAGAGGGCAGTAATTTATGGCCACCATTAAGGACACAAAGACAAAGGCAGTGGGGACGTTTCGCGAAGTGAAGACTTGCCAATGTGTAAAACCCACCCTTACGCCTGGGAGAAGCGGAGTGGCTCTGCCCGCACCACACAAAGGGGGTGGGAGACAGAACAAGGGGTGCAACCTGCCTGCCTCCCCTGGGGATGGAAAGGTCAGAAAGAAAACAACACAGAACGTTATTTTCTCAGCTTCTCCACCAGTCAGCGGCATTAGCCAGGAAGGCCCGAACAGAGAGACCCAGGTGCCTGGGTGCCCTGGGCACCGGAGGGGTGCAGCGGGGGTGGGATGGGGGAGGATCCTGGGAGGATGGGCCCTAGGAAGATGTTTTTGTGCATGAGCTAGGCGGGGATTTTTGGTGGTTTTTTTCCTTTTTCATTTATTTATTTGTTTGTTTGTTTATTTTAATATATTTTATTGATTTTTCACAGAGAGGAAGGGAGAGGGATAGATAGCTAGAAACATCGATGAGAGAGAATCATCGATCAGTTGCCTCTTGCACACCCCCCACTGGGGATGTGCCCGCAACCAAGGTATATGCCCTTGACCGGAATCGAACCCGGGACCCGTCAGTCCGCAGGCCGACGCTCCATCCACTGAGCCAAACCGGTCTCGGCCCTTTTTCTTTTTTTTAATCAAAGGAATGAATAGATAGATATAGACATAAATACAGATACACACAGATGCACATGTATATATGTGAATATTCACAGGAGAAAATGCAATAAATACAGAGATGCTCAAAGAACATAAACATCCCTGAGTATGGTGTTTGCTGCATCTAGGAATGGCTGCTACATTTCCTCCCGGAGTGATGCAGAGTGCGGTGGGATGCAGTCTTCGGTGCCCAGGGCGGTGTGGGAAGGCCCCAGGCAGTGTGCTCCCTTAGAAGGATGTCTTGTGTGGGGGCCGGGTGGCCAGGGGTCAGACCTGACCTTTGTGAGGTCAGGAGGTCACAGCTACCACGTGTGCCCCAGGCGAAGTTGGGGCTGAGTCTTGTCCCTGGTGGCTAACCCTTGACTTCTAGCCCCCCCTTTCCCTTCACCCTTTAGGCTGCCCTGAAGAGAGAGGTCACTGGTTTTCGGGGAAGTGGGCATTTTCTGCTGTGACTCCGGGTTCAGGGTGTCCCTGAGTCTCAGGAGGCCCCGCAGTGGGAAATCAGAGGGCAGAGCAGAGAGAGGTGCAGAGGGTGTCTGAGGCAAGCAGAGAACTGGGGACCCCTCTGCACTGAGCTCTCCTGCGTGGCAGTGTCTGTGCAATCACCCCATCCATCCACCCGTGCCCCAGACCCTAAAGCCCCCTTCCCAGTGGGGAAGCCCTGAAGGGGGCTTTGCGGTCGGGGGACTCTAGGACTCAGAGGTCCGAGGACACTTTCTGGGTGCCCCATGCCGAGCAGCTCGGGTTGGCAGGCTGTCTGTCCGCCCAGAGGGATCCCCGCACACGGGCAGGGGGGGAGGCTGAGCCTCAGCAGGATGGGAGTGCGGGTTCGGGGGCCCCCAGATTTGGTCCCGGGCCCGGGGGCGGGAGGGGGCGCGGCCGCCCGCACGGACGGCCACCCCGGCCACCGAGGCCGCGCCCCCTGCGCCCGGAGCGAGGGGCGGGCGGGGGAGGACCGTGTGAACGAGGCCGGGCGGGCGGGGCCGGCGGTGTCAGCGGCGGCCGGGCCGCACTCCCCTCGGAGCCGCCGCCGCGCCTGCCATGGGGGCCGCGGGCCCCGGGGCGGCCCGGGCGCTGCTGCCGCTGCTGCTGCTGCCGCTGCTGCTGCGGGCGGCGGTGCTGCCCGGCCCGGCCCGCGTCCCCGCGCCGCCCGAGGGTGAGTGTCCGCCCCTCGGGGCGCACCTGGCGGGTGGGGGTCCCCGCTTCCCCGGCGGCTCGGGGCCCCGGACGGGGCTGCGGAGCTCCGCGTGGCCCCGCTCCCCCGGGGCCTCACCCCTTGGCCAGGCCGCGGCGCCACGACCGCGGGGGCGGGAGGCCCAGGGCCGGCCTCGGACCCCGGGCCGATGACAGTTCCGTCCGTCAGGGGCCCCGGACAGTGCCCGCCGGTCAGACGCTCCCCTGCCGAGCAGGGCGCAGGGCATCGGGGTCTCAGGTCCGGCTCCTCCTCGCCCAGATGGGGAGACGGGGACCGGGGCCGCGGCCAGGGCACCTCAGTCCGTGGGGCAGCTTTGCTCCTGCTCCCTCGGAGGTCCCGGGGGCTCTCCGGGGGCTTCGGGGTCGGATCCCGGGAGGGATCTCTGTGCGGAGCAGCCGCTGCCGGAGGATCCCGGGATCCTGCAAGCAGCCGCCAGCCCGGCTCTGGGGCCGGCGTGGATGAGGACTCCGGACAGTCTTCGCTAACCCGACTCGAAATCCTTTCAAAACTTTTGTTTTTAATTAACCTCTTAGAGTGATGTCAACCAGGAAACACCCCTGCCAGGCCTGTGTCCAGGCTGAGAGGGCGAGCAGGGGCGCAGGGGGGTACCATTCCCTCTGGGCACCACCTGGGAGCCGGGGCGATGCGCTCAGAGCCCCTGCCAGCCTTCCGCCCAGAGCATCCCCGAGAGGAAGCTGACGGAGCGGCTCAGGTCTCCTGATCACACGTGCAGGCATTTGCTGTTTCCTGCCCGTGTTCCCAGCCACGGGGCAGGGGCCCAATCTGTAATCAAGGTGGGGAGGCGGGCAGGAAAACAGTGACAACCTGCAATGAAAGGAGAGAAACGTGGGGAGCACATCCTGGGAGACCCCACCCCTCCGCGCGGGGGTCCTGGTCGGCCTCCTGGAGCGGGTGGCTCTGAGCTGAGGCTCGAAGGCGCTCGGAAAGGGTGGGGAGCATCGCAGTCAGAAGGGCCAGGCTGTGCCTGGAACCGCATGGCAAACGGGATGGTACATCCCAGAGGCTCCCCAGCCGGTTCGGTTCGCCGGTGGAGCGTGAAGGCGGGTGGGCGGGTGGGAGGTGATGGCAGAGAGGGGCCGGGGTCGGAGCCCAGGAGCTGCCTCGCTCTTTTGCAGATGTGGACGAGTGTGCCCTCGGGCTGGATGACTGCCACCCCCATGCCCTGTGTCAGAACACGCCCACCTCCTACAAGTGCTCCTGCAAGCCTGGCTACCACGGGGAGGGCAGGCAGTGTGCGGGTAAGTGTCTCGGACACCGTGGTGGTGGGCCGCCAGGGGACACTCCCCACCTCCTAGGCTCCTGTGGTGGCCACTCATGTCGCTGAAAGTCCTGCCTCTTCCCCTGAGTCACTGCCTCCCCCCCTGCCCCCCCCAACACACACTGTCATCCTCCAGGGACTGGGGATCAAGCCTTCCTCAGAGCTGATCATACAGTTGACGTGGCTAGCTTCTAAAAAGGAAAAGAGGTTGTTTTAGTATCTTTTGGTGCCACTCGGTTTGGGGGCAGAAAGTCAGCAGGAGGCTGTGCTAGCCAGAGCAGCAGATCCCGCTCTCCCCTCTGGGGTTTGCACCTTCTCTCTGGAGTCTGAGCGCCAGGGTCCTGCCCTCCCCTCCCCGCAGGCTCTGCAGCTCCACCTTGTCCCTGGCTCTGGGCGGCTTGGGGTTGTGACCCGCCACACTTGAGAGCTACACCAGGGCCTGCCTCGTCTGGAGCTGCCAGTTCACCCTGGAAAGATGTGTTCTGAAGGAGCCTGAGGCCTGGACTCTGCCACTTGGAGTCCTTGGCCCCTGGGGGTTAGCTCAGCGTCGTGAACTCTGAAGTTCACAACCAGCTGGAGACTGTTCCTGGGGTTGAAAATCATAGCCTGTGGGAGCGGGCAGGGCTGCTTTTCAGGGAGTTCTGAGCCAGCCCCACCCTTCGTTTCACAGAGGAGAATGCTGAGCCCAGGGGAGTTGGGAAAGGGCCTTGTGGCTATGACCACACAATTAGCCCGCAGGTAAAAGGAAGTCAGATCTGCCCTCCAGCCCTGGCCCAGGCCCCATGACCCTTCTGTTCGCTCAGCCTCCCGCTGTCCCTCTTTGGTTGGGTGAGAAATCCTATTTTATGGTCTCCTTTTTGCTGAGGAGCAAAACTCCTGCCTCTTCCATCAGGGGAGGCATGCGCCTGGTCAGGTCACAGCAAGTGGGGTTGGCGGTCCATCCATAAAGGCCTTCTGTGTCTTCAAATTCATGCTTTCCCAGAGACAGACATCCATCTCTCTAACTGCCCTACATCACGGGAAGCCGAAAAGCTACCTCTCCCTGACACATCTGTGTGTCCTTCCATACCGCCCCCTCACCATCTTAAATATTTTTTAAAATATATTTTATTGATTTTTACAGAGAGGAGGAGAGAGGGATAGAGAGTTAGAAACATCGATGAGAGAGAATCATTGACCAGCTGCCTCTTGCACACCCCCTACTGGGGATGTGCCTGTAACCAAGGAACATGCCCTTGACCAGAATCGAATCTGGGACCTTTCAGTCCACAGGCTGATGCTCTATCCGCTGAGCCAAACCGGTTTCGGCCATTTTACATATTTTATTGACAGTATTGGAATTCACATGTGTTGGTACCCTGCTTGGGGGGGGAAATGTTCACTTTTTCACAGTGTCCTCTGGTCCCTGTGTCCTCTCTGGGGGCAGGAACCAGGCCACAGCTTCTTCCGGACAAAGTGCCTATTTAATAAATGATGTCAAATGACAGGTGGCAAGAGTTTCCTTATTCTTAGCTGTTGGGTTATAATCGAAATTAAAATTGAATTGCTAACAGTTTGTAGTTGAAAAGTCTACTATTGATTTTAAAATAACAACTGATTCACTGGCATTGTTGCTTTTATGTACTTAAATTGCTATTTAACATAATATATGATTAGTGTCATAAAAAGTTAAGCAGCACAAAAATGAAAAAAAAACAACCCACAATAAAACAAAACAGAAAATTTGTCCACAGGTAATCACCATTAACATGGAGCATATATTCTTTGCATTTCAAACTAAAACCCTAGGAGAGTTTGCTCTTTGAATACTTGCAATATGTATAAACCTAACGAGTAAGGACGTCCTGTTTAGTTTGGACTTTTTGGTACAGGAGTTCAGAGGAGAAGGATTGCAAGGATTTAAAGATGTAACTCCTTTACGTGTGTTTCTTGGCTTATTAGTTTTTAAGTCTCTTGGGTCCAATCCAGGGTATCATTTGCTCCTGTCTCCACAAACTTTCTTCTGCCCAAATGTTGGAGATGAGAAAGTGTGGGCCCTGGAAAGTCTTTTTAAAAAATTTTTAAAAATATATATTTTATTGATTTTTTTTACAGAGAGGAAGAGAGAGGGATAGAGAGTTAGAAACATCGATGAGAGAGAATCATCGATCAGCTGCCTCCTGCACACCCCCTACTGGGGATGTGCCTGCAACCAAGGTACATGCCCTTGACCGGAATCAACTGTCTATCCACTGAGCCAAACCGGTTTCGGCTGGAAAGTCTTTTTTAAACAAGGTGATTCATAAGTGGCTTAAAGTATCTAAACATCTTTAGATAAAGATTTTTTATTTTAAATGATCTTTGCTTTTATCTCAGACTGCAAAGAGCGGATGTTTCAGTGGTCAGTAATCAGTATATAGTCCTTACTTTCCAGTTTAGGGAACTGAATTAAGTTTAACAAAAGTGAATGTGAACTTGACCTTTGTATAGGAGCTGTATTTAAAACTTTTTTTTTACTTAGAGATTATTTTAGGCTTCAGAAATTTTGCAAAAATAGTGCAGAACTCATATGTGCCCTTCATTTATCTTACTCAAATATTAACAACTCATATAAATATAATACAGTATCAAAACCAGGAAATTAATATCTCCGCAATATTAACTAAATTATAGACCATATTCAAATTTCACCTTTTTTTCTTTAAATGTTCTTCTCCCCTGACCCCTCTCACCCAGGCCCCAGGATCCAGCTTGAAGTCCCCCGTGACATTTATCTGTGGTCTCTGTCTCGTCCAGCCTATGACAGCCCCTCTGTCTCCCCTGGTCTTTCCTGCCACGGACACTTGATGAATACAGTTTAGTTCTTTTGTTTGCCTTATATTTCCTCATGATAAGCATTGATATGGCAGGAACTGAAAAGATAAGAATTACTCCCTCCTCCTATTCCATTGCCCTGTTCTCATTCCTCCTTCTCTCCACCCCTTTCCCCACACGCTGTGGGTCGCCATCTCTGCTGTGTCTGTCTTTCTCACGATAAGAGTGTGGTTATGCGTTTGTAGTAAAACCACAGCGAAACGTTGACAAGGCTGCTGTGGAAGTGCCACTGTGCATCCCACCGGGAGCTCGCAATGGCAGCATGCTAACAGGTGATGATACCATTGACGCCTGGTGAAGATGGCATATTCTGGGTCTCTCCGCTGCAAACTTAGTATTTTTTCTTTCCATAGACACATGGCTTGGAGCCTATACATTCAGCCTACGCTAATATTCTGTTTCTTCTCAAGTTGTTGCCCTTGGATTTCAGAATCCAACTATGGATCTTGCCTGCAACAATTATTGCTATGATGTTGCCTCTTGGTAATTTTGTATTTCCACTGTTCTTTATACACCCATTAAACTGGTATTCTTCTATAAGGAAGATTCCTTCTCCACGATTCATTCATGCATTGATTTCTATGTTTATGTATTTATGCCAGTATGCACTTGTGGGTATTTATTTAATTACTAGAGGCCCAGTGCATGAATTTGTGCACAGCAATTGGGCTGATGGAGTGGGGGGCAGCCAGCCTGGGGAAGGGGCTGTGGGAGGTTGGCCAGCCAACCGGGGGTATGGGGTTGTGGGGAGAGGGACTCCAGGAGGTTGCCCAGCCATAGGAGATTGGCTCTGGGAATGCACTGATCACCAGGGGACAGCTCCTCCTTTGAGTATCTGCCCCCTGGTGGTCAGTTATCAAAATAACTGGTCAAGCTGTTGTTCAGTTGCTTAGGCTTTTATATATATATTATATTCCCCCCTATTTGTATATATATTTAGTTATTTATTTCTGGCTCTTTTGTGTGTGTGTGTGTGTGTGTGTGTGTGTGTGTGTGTAAGTAACAGTGAGTTATACTGATACTTTGTTTTTTGTTTTTTAAAAATATATTTTATTGATTTTTCACAGAGAGGAAGGGAGAGGGAGAGAGAGCCAGAAACATAATGAAAGAGAGATACATCGACCAGCTGCCCCTGCTCACCCCCCATCGGGGATGTGCCCACAACCATGCCCCCGACTGGAATCGAATCTGGGACACTTCAGTCCGCAGACTGACACTCCATTCACTGAGCCAAATCGGTTTCGGCTACACTGATACTTTGGATTCCAAAGCAATACTACAAGATTTATTTTAACCTCTCTTTTTGCTCATTCATAACTTCTTTCTCCAACGGAGAAACTTGGCTCAAATTGTTTCAGCTTTAGCCATTAAGAGCTCCATCACATTGTTGCCTGTGTCCTTTTCACATGCCCCCGTCATTTATATAAGAAATTCTTAATTTTTTGGTGCCACAAAATGCTCCAAACTCATCTTCTATTTTCCCCCACCCCAGCCCTGGAATCAACCACTTCTCCAAGGAACCCTGATTCCTTTTATTGAAAAACGGTGTATAGAAACCAAGATCTGGATCTTTGCTGTTTTCATTGTTCCTGGTGATTACTCCTGGGTCTTCTCAGTGGACAGAGCTAGAAAATATACTAGTATGTATGTTTATTAGGCCCCCCCCCATCTCTATTAATTTTTTGAAGACATGTTTTTATTGATTTCAGAGAGAAGAAGGGAGAGGGAGAGAGAGGTAGAAACATCAATGATGAGAGAGAAGCATCAATTGGCTGCCTCATGCATGCCCCCTACTGGGGATCATGCCTGCAACCTGGGCATGTACCTGACTAGGAATTGAACCGTGACCTCTTGGTTCATGGGTTGATACTCAATCACTAAGCAATACCAGCCAGACTATTAATGTTTTATATCTAACTCGTGTGTGTGTGTGTGTGTGTGTGTGTAAGTAACAGTGAGTTACACTGATACTTTGGATTCCAAAGCAATACTACAAAATTTTTTCTAACCTCCTTCTTTGCTTATTCATAACTTCTTTCTCCAACAGAGAAACATGGCTCTTAGTATTTGAAATATATTTACCAATCCTAGTTTGTTCAATTCTAGTATACAAATTAATTATTTGCAGAATTGCCAATCCATACCCTGTAAGTAAAACAGGTTTGGTCATTAGAGGACAGTCTTTGTATACAGCTGTTTTTGTTTTTAACCTTACAACAGCCAGTCCAGATATGTTTTTCAAAGTTACTTCGGCTAGTGTTTTTCTTCCCCATTCTCTTTAGTGTGGTTCTATTATAATACAGTAAATTTGTTTGTTCCCCCCTATTTGTATTCCATTTAAAAAAATATATATATTTTATTGATTTTTTTACAGAGAGGAAGGGGGAGAGATAGAGAGCTAGAAATGTCGATGAAAGAGATACATAGACCAGCTGCCTCTTGCACACCCCCTACCGGGGATGTGCCCGCAACCAACGTACATGCCCCGGGACTCTTCAATCCGCAGACCGACGCTCTACCACTGAGCCAAACCGGTTTCGGCTGTATTCCATTTTTTATGCCTCACTTCACCCCATCCCTGTTTCTTTTACTTAATATTATATCTTAGAAACCACTCCAAATCAGTCCATAGAGATTGTTACCATTGTTGTTTTTAACAGCTGCATAGTAATCTGTTGAGTAAATGTACCATAATTCTCCAATTACTCTGCTCTGACTTATAACCTCTGCATCTAAGTTGGTTTTAGTATTTTGTAATTACAAATGCTGCGTAAATAATTATTTGCATATTTACTTTCCTGTTGTTGGAGATGTGTCTTCAGGGTAGATTCCTAGACGTGGCGTGGCTGGTTTAAAGATAAATACATAGTTCTCCATGCTAAAGAAATAGCATCTGACTGATTTACTTCTCTTTCATTCCTCAGACATTGATGAGTGTGAAAACGAACTCAAAGGAGGCTGTGTCCATGACTGTTTGAATATTCCGGGCAATTACCGCTGCACTTGTTTTGATGGCTTCATGTTGGCTCATGACGGTCATAATTGTCTTGGTAAGCACAACGGTTGGGAACGGCAGTTCCCCTTTACCCTCGGGCACCCCCATCCTGGGTTCTCCTTTGATGAAATACTCATTAAAACAAAAAGGGGATCAGAGACTTGTGTTTTCTGGCCCCCTAGAAATCAAACTCTGATAGAAAACCCGGTAAAATGTTTTAGTTTAAAAAAAAAAATTTTTTTTTAAATTGATTTCAGAAAGAAAGGGAGAGGGAGAGAGATATAGGAAACATCAACGATGAGAGAAAATCACTGATTGACTGCCTCCTGCACACCCCTCACTGGGGGGTTCAGCCCACAACTGACTGGGAATTGAACCATGACCTCCTCGTTCACTGGTCGACGCTCAACTACTGAGCCACGCTGGCTGAGCATGTTTTAATTTTTATTGTGATCATTCATAATATAAATCCTCCACTAGTCCGAGGAGAGGGGCAGGCATCATCATTTCTACTCACTGACTTTTTAGCATTGACTTGTCACCTTTAAGATCTTTGATTTTGTGTTAAAAGGGTCTTGACTTATACCCTTATAACTCTTTTCTGCTGTAGGTGTCTCTGTTCTAGAATTAGGTAAAATTACTTGTCCCGAAGAATCCGAGTGTATGCTTGAATCTCAGCCAGGTGGACCCTCCCCTCTTTTTTTCTTGAAATAGAGAGAAATTCAAACAGAAACCTTCCATCAACATCCTTCTAAGTATTCCACTAAACAGAAACATCTGTTGGAGTTTCAGTCCCTGAGTTAGGGACTATAAGTGGTGTTTACATTGGTTTCTTATGCCCGGAATGAAACAGAACTTAGAAATAGCAGGCCATGGGGTAGGGCTGTGGGATGGACAGCCTTGGAGGATGCCGTACACCTGGCAGGCAGGTTTTTTGGTCTGTTCGCACTGGAAGGCTGCTGTCATCCGCTGTGTGGGAACACATGGTGGGAGACAGCTGGCATCGGGTTCCTTTGACACTGGTGACCCCTCATGGGGCTGACCCACTGATGTCCACTGGGCTGACCTAGCCTGGCCCTGTGGGGATGGCTGTGCGGTGCTCCCTCCCAGTGCAGTGGGAATAGCCACTTGTTCGAATGCTTTGAGGTCAGCTCAGACGTCACCGATAAGGACGGGCAGCATTTGTGTTTGTGGGGGGCATTTTCCTTTGGGACTCACATGTCCCGTGACCTTTATCCACTTCAGTGTCACCTGGGGCCTCATCCTGCCTGTGGCCTGGGTAGGCGGTCAGGCTTTGGGTCAGCCACTTGGCTTGATGGAAGGCTGGAGGATCGCGAAGCCCTTTTCAAACTTTTAGGCCATCGGTATCACATTAGAGACAATCCTGAGAGCAGCAACACGTTGAGATCAATGAAAAACTCAAAAAGAGGAGACCACTTTCCGTGTATATTTGCTGGGAAGCATACAGTGTGTTTGTACTGCGGCTGTTGATTTTTGTTTTGTTGGTTCCATTTTCTGGGGGTGGGGGGCGGAAATCTCACATTTCCCTCTGATTTGCTAACAGCGGCATTTTGAGGGCTTGGATCTGATAGCAGAGCCAGTCATCAGAGTTATGCTCACACACACAGCCTTGGAGCAGCGTGAGCTTCCTAAGAAGCCAAACCATCCAGGAGTTAGGACCCGGGCCGGGGGTGGGGGGGTGGTGGTGGTGGTGGTGGTGGTGGTGGTGGTGGTGGTGGTGGTGGTGGTTCTGAGCACAGGCCCCACTCAGGAACCCTGAGGCCTGGTCCTTCCTTGCCTGGCCACTAACACAAGCTATTTCAGCAGACTATCTCCATTTCCTGCCCCGGGGGGCCTCTCTGTGGGCTTTGTAGCAAGGATGTGCTCTGGAGAAAGATCCTGAGCACCCACGGACCCACCCTGAACAGGCTGAGGATTCCTTACCAGGAAGGCACGAGAAAGCCACGTGGCTCACCAGGAAGGGCAGGACAGCGCGCACAGCACAGACCTCTCTGCCAGCTCACCTGGGAGCGGCGGAAGCCCTGTGCCCAGGAACGAGCTCAGAGCCAGGACCGCTCAGGAGTGGCCGCTTCCTGTGCTGTGTGGGATGAGCCCTCACCTCTCCCGGCCCCACTACCCACCCCTTAGCCACAGGCGTGCCAGCCAGAACCTACAGAGTGAAACACCACTGAGCCCTGGCACTCAGCCCAGAGTCCTCCAGGATCCGAACTGCCTGTGAGCCAGAAAAGTGAAACGCAGCCCTGCCGCCCCTCGCGCCCCGCCCGCGCCCCGTTCCTGTTTGCTGAGCGCCTGGCCGGGGCAGCGCTCCCGCTCCAGCCCCCGGGGGTTGTAGCGGCGGCTCTCCCCGCTGGCTGCCCATCAGAATCACGTGGGGAGTTTTAAAACAACACCGTGGCCGCTGCGGCCGGTGTGGCTCAGGCGCTTGGAGTGTTGCCCCAACACCAGAAGGTGGTGGGTTCAAGTACTGGTCAGGGCACAAAATCTCTGCGTGCACGCCAGAGGCTATCAATAGATGTTTCTCTCTTCTCTTCCTCTCCTCTCCCTCCTCCCCCCCTTTCCCTTTCTCGCTCTAAAAATCAATAGAAATGTGTCCTCAGGTGAGGATAACTAACTAACTGACTAAAGCAACACCATGGCCTAGGTCTCACCCAAGACTACTTCTGTTGGTGTCTCAGAAGGCAGATTCAGGCCTCAGGGTTCTAACGTGAAGCCCCGGGTACAAAATCCCGCTTTACTGTCTGGAGAAACTCACCAGCCTTGTGATACCCACGTGTGAACACACGCACTCCGTTTTAAGTCAGTCAGAGCTAACGACACGTTTCTGATGGCTTTGGCGAAAGGGAAGGGTGGGTGAAACCTGGGCTGGGGGGTGGCAGCTCGGAGGGGCGCACACCTTTCCCCAGCGGTAACGCAGGATTTGGGGTCCAGGGAGGCAGATCCCCCCGGCTCCCGGGAGTCCTCGCTGAGGAACACCCAGGCCAGGTGTGCTCGCCCTCAGGAATGTGCTCCCTTCGCCCTCTGGCTCGGAGAGGGCACGTTTGTTAGGCTGCAGGGGATGGCTCTGGGCCCATCAGTTTAGAAAGGCATCTGCTCGGTGTGGGAAGACCGCTGCGGTAAGATCTGAAGCTTGAAACCAGATAACAGATATTTAAATGTGAATTTTCTTGTGCCGAATGTGCCCAGGAGCTAGCGATAGGCACGTGGGAAGTCAGGCTGGCGGGGGCGGGGAGGGGGAGGAATGGCTTTTAGATCAGCCTTCCCCCCAGCCTCTCTGGAAGTTTCCTCTTCTCGGCTCCGGTGGTGCTGTGCTCGCCTGCTTGCTGTTCATGCCCTGGACGGCCTGGGTGCCGCAGCAGGTTGCAGGCTGTGCTAATAAGACACACATCTTGGTCCTTAAGGAGTTTGCCATCCGATGGAGATAAATAAGTAAAAGATTTTAGGGGTCAAAGGTACAAGTTAAAAAAAAAAAAAAAAGATTTTAAGCCAAAACTGGTTTGGCTCAGTGGATAGAGTGTCGGCCTGCAGACTGAAAGGTCCCAGGTTCGATTCCAGTCAAGGGCATGTACCTTGGTTGCGGGTATATCCCCAGTGCGGGGTGTGCAAGAGGCAGCTGATCGATGATTCTCTCTCATCGATGTTTCTAACTCTCTATCCCTCTCTTTCTCTCTGCAAAAAAAAAAAAAAAAAAAAAAAAAATCAATAAAATATATTTTAAAAAAAAGATTTTGAGACTGCAGTTCGGTAAGTATATGATGAAGCCACGTGCATGTGACTCCGTGGGAGGAAAGTCCCCTCTCCCCCCGCTGAGGGGTGGCCCTGGGGGAGGCATCCCCGCCCTGCATTTCTGATGGTCCATCTCTGGGGCTCCTGCTGTCTCCTCTGCCTCCTCTTTCCCAGGTATTCTCCTTGATTCCGCCTCTGGCTCCCTTCCCGCTCCCTCTCTCCCTCTCCTCCGTCCCGTCTCATGTACATTCACCCGAATCGGGCCATCACAAGCACATGTGCCGTCTTTGCCACACCAGGTGTAGGTTTCCCACCACCTGCAGACCTTCCCCGGGTGGGGGTCAGCCAGTCTCCACCCCATCTCCACACCCAGCGCTGCATCTCTCTGTGTATCTTAGCCACCCCACCACCTGCTCGCATGGCTCGCTGCCCTGCAGGCACCTGCCCACAGCCTTTTATTCTTCCTCGGCATCCCCCCTGCCAGGCCCACCGGTCCCCACCGGTCCCCACCGTCCTGGGCATGGCTGTTCCAGGCACTTGTGTGAAGTCGGACCCCAGGCTTTCGATTCTTCCCCTTCCCTGTGTCCTTCCCTCAGCGGCTGGGCTGCCTTGTTCCTCCCAACATGGGAGTCCGCCACCCTGCTCCCGAGGGTCCCCACGAAGGGCCTCCTTGGCTTGTTATTCAGGGTCCTTTGCAGTGACCCCGAATCTACTTCCCAGCTCTCTCCTGCAACTTCCCTGCTTGTACCCACGCTCCATCCAGCCCAGGGGGTGACCTGCCGCTGCTGGAACAGACCCTGTGCTCCCCAGCCTTCCGGCTGGTTCTCACGCTCCTTCTTCTGCCAGGAACCCCTTCTCCTGGTTTGTAATTGAAGAAATCCTGCAGGGCCCCGCATTCCTCACCAGCTTCTCCACAAAACCCATCCTGACACCTGCAACCACAGGCGACCTCTCTTTCCTCTGTGCCTCATTTGACCGTCTCTCAGGATTGCTTGTGCATTTGTCTCTTCCCGGAGGGAAGGCATTGGATCTCACTCCTTTACCTTACGTTTTACTGCCTCCCCGAGCACGTGCTTTGGAAAGAGAGGGTGTTCCATCAGTATTTCCTGAATCAGTTCTTTTGTGTGCATATGGAGGGCCTTGTCTTAAGTGAGCTCCAGACCCATGAGGGCTGGTTAGTCACCTGGGGGTCCCACTGGCTCCCATCCTTAGAGCTGCTGTGGGAATGGGAAGAGGGACCTTATCTCTGCTCAGGAGGAATCCCAGAGCTGCCTGCCGGGCTGGGTGGGGCGCTCAAACAGTCACCCAAGCGGAGGCTGAGCCTTCTCCCCTGCAGACGTGGACGAGTGCCTGGACAACAACGGCGGCTGCCAGCACACCTGCCTCAACGCCCTGGGGAGCTACGAGTGCCGCTGCAAGGAGGGCTTCTTCCTGAGCGACAATCAGCACACGTGCATCCACCGCTCCGCAGGTACCGCTGCCGCCGGGGGCGGGGCCTGGAGGGGCGGGGCCTGGGGCGGGGGCGGGGCCACGCCTGGGTCTCCCCCACCAGCTCGGGCCCATGGAGGTCTGGAGGCTGAGGACACGCAGGCTGTGCTGCTGGGTACCCAGGCTTCTCCTTCATCTGGAAAACAAGTGGTGAGCGCTGAGGTCTCTTCAAAAGTCCCAGTCTCAGATTCTAATCTCTGAGAAGAGTGCATTGCAAACACGACTAGATGTCTCAGGGGAAATGGACACTGCCAGGTTTTTCAGAAACCGTGCCGCAAACCACAGCACCAAGTGCGAGCCTGCTCCCTGCCCGGGGCGGGTGGGGAAGGGCCGGGCCTTCCCGGGCTTTGCCCCGTGTTGCCCCCCGGCTAGGTCTGGCCTTCCCAGTGTTTTGCATTTTTGAACTCTGAGCCTCTGAGGCTCCAGGGGCAGGGGGACTCCCCCGCCTCTAGTCCCCCCAGGCTTGAGCTCCCTGTTTCTTTCACCCATGCCACCACTTACTATTCCTCCACACATTTGCAGAAGACTCCTGTGATGGCCGTCTTTTTATTCTTGTTTTCTTCCTCTCTTCCTTCAGTGGGCTCTTGGGAGGGCGGAGGGTTGAGGGCCTGTGGCCAGCCAGCCACCCTTAACCAAATGACGGGCGTTCGGTTACGCTCTGCTTTTTCTCAAGCCGGGCAATCACACATGGGTGGCTGCCTTTCTCCTCCCGGGCTGGCCTGTGCCTGCTCTCAAAGGAAGGGCCCTACATATTAGACTATTGACTCCTTTTTAATAACTTAAGAATGAGGCCATTCTCCGTTCTCCCATTACTGACGCACAGATTTGTAGGTTTATTATTTTCATTGTGGTTTCGGTGGCTTTTCAGGGGTTTCTTTGGGGAAGATGACTTCTGCCTCATTTTCTAAGCAGGATGGCTCCTTCCTTATAGCTCCCTGGAAAGTCTGTGTGGGTGCCAAGCCGGGCCAGAGAACGCACGGGGGCCATGGGCTCGATGGCTCTCACCACCCGCGGGGTCACCGGCCGTGTCGGAGCAGGTTCCCGCGCTCCGCCTCTCAGCCCGCAGCTGCCTCCTGCGGGCTGGATGGAGCGGCAGTTGGCTTTCATTTTCCCGCGGGTGTCTCTGGACTCTGAGCTCTGCATCTGGGAGAATTAAGGTGCCAGCAGCATAGGTGATCTGGTCTCAGAGCATCTCCCCTTTGGTTGCTCAAAGCTGCTTCCTGCACCCTAGTAGGTTTGGCTCAGTGGATAGAGCCAAAAGCTTCTGGGTTCCATTCCGATCAAGGGCACGTGCCTTGATTGCAGGCTTCTCCCCAGGCTGGACCCTGGACTGGGCTGGTATGGGAGGCAGCCAGTGGTTGTGTTTCTCTCGCATCGATGTTTCTCTCTGTCTTTCCCCTGCTCCCTTCCACTCTCCCTAAAAGTCCGTGGAAAAATATCCTCGGGTGAGGATCAGCAAAACAAAACAAAAGCTGCTTCCTGAGAAGTCACCCTGGGAGGGAGATGGGCACCTATAGGTCAAGCCATTGCTTGAACAGCCCCCCTTCCCCCAGGGGGTCCCACTGGTTCACAAGGCCACGCGTCCTGAGCCCTGGAGCTTCCAGAGCGGCCCCTCTTTCCCCTCCGGCAAGCCCTCCAGGCTGACTCCAGACCCTGGCTCCTCGCACAGAAGTCCACACTAACGCGGTTCCGCTCCACAACCTGTGTTTGCTACGTTTTCTGTAATTCAGACATTCTTGGAGCCCCTGAAGAGCACTTAAAATGAGTGTATTTGTCTGGAACTAAAACCAAAGTCCAAGAATTTGAGTTGTGGTCTGGAAGCGCGCAGGGATTTTCTGTTGTGCTTCGCCCCGGCGGCTTGGCAAACGCTCGCCCGTGTGAGCCAACAGGTTACAGGCTCTGCGGCGGCTCCCCTTCCGCCCTGCGGTTTAACTCTTCAAACAGAACAAGCTGTACAAGGCGCTCCTTTAGGATTTCCTCCTTGACAGGCACGTTAAACCCTTAGAAACGGTATTAAAACAGACTTTAAAAACCCACGGTGGATGCCCGAAAAGTGGCGAAAAGAAGGGAGCACTGCAAGCGAGCATTTTCTAGTGTTGCTGTTGTTTTCGGTAATTATTCACCGGATGTTCTTCGATCTATTAGGGCAGTGTTTCCCAAACTTCTCTAGAGCACTTGTTAAGTACACAATGTTACCTATATGTTCCCAAAAATTCTAGTTTAGCACGTCTTAGTTGGGATTCGGGAATCTGTATTTTAACAACTCCACCAGGTGATTCTCATCATGAGAGAAGTTTGGGAAGCCCTGTATTAGGGGATCCTAATAGCTGATTCTGAGGGGAAGCTTAAGCGATCGATTTAATTCTCAGAGACCCCAAAGCTCTGCCAGAGAGGCTGTGTGTTCTCACCCATGTAAGGGGGTGGGCTGGAGAGAGACGGCGCCCCGGCCTGCCTTTGTCCCTATTCATGGTGCTCAGGCTCTCCAAAGGAGCACCCCTCTTTGGTTTTGTCTGCTCTGAGCTATTTTTAAAAATATATATTGTATATTTTACTGATTTTGTACAGAGAGGAAGGGAGAGAGACAGAGAGTTAGAAACATCGATGAGAGTCATCGATCAGCTGCCTCTTGCACACCCCCTACTGGGGATATGCCTGCAACCAAGGTACATGCCCTTGACCGGAATCGAACCCAGGACCTTTCTGTCCCCAAGCCGACGCTCTATCCATTGAGCCAAACCGGTTTCGGCTGCTCTGAGCTATTTTTAGATGTTGGTGTTGCCCCATTGGCAAGGCGTATTTTTATTTGGCTTCCAGAAGTATTCTTCATTGAGAGCCTGAGCCTGGGGACCGCCAGAATGGGGCATTTCCAATGTGTCTGAGCTGTTTTCCTCTTGGGGAACAGACAGCCCTAACTCGACTGCCAGGCCCGTTTCTGGGGAGCCCGGACCTTGGGTGGCTGGGCCTCGTGGTGCGGGCCAGCCCGCGGGCCTCCCCAGCAGTGTGCTTGTTCTGAGCCAGGCTGCTCCAAATGGCTCCGAGCCGCCCCTTGAAAAGCCCCCAGCATCTCCAGAGCCACTGAAAGCTCCACTGGTCTCCAGGTAAGTTTAGGTCCAGCTTGATATGCTAGGACCGTGATCTGCAAACTGCAGCTCGAGAGCCACATGCTGATCTTTGGCTCCTTGAATGTGGCTCTTCCACAAAATGCCACGGTCTGGGCGAGTCTATTTTGAAGAAGTGGCATTAGAAGAAGTTTAAGTTTAAAAAATTTGGCTCTCAAAAGACATTTCAGTCGTTGTACTGTTGATAGTTGGCTCTGTTGGCGAATGAGTTTGCCGACCACTGTCCCAGGCAGACAGGACACAGCTTCCGGAGGCAACTCTTGGCACCGGGAGAAAATAACGTCTTGGGAAATCACCAGATTTCAAAGAGCCTGCCACTGACCCAGTGCAAGCTTCTCTGTGTCAATTGACAGCAGCCCCTGGCCTGGGCACATGAGTCCCAGCACCTGCCCACTGACAGAGTGCTGGCGTTCAAACAGCTCGTAACGGGCAGATAAAAACCAAGGTGGCGTTAGGAGACTGTGGGATGGATTAACCGCTGCACTGCCTTTTGGAATACGGATGGCATCTGTTTGTATTAAACATTTATCCCAGTGAAGCGTAGGTCGATGGCTCTGCGGTAGAACTGGAGAGAGATGACTCGACTTCAGTAGAACCCAGGGGCTAAGGTTTTTGGGGCACAGAACAGAACAGTGTGGGATCCTAGAGAAGTGGAATGGAAACCTTTTGTACGTACATTTAAAACAGCGCTACTTCCAGATTAGAAAGCATCTTGTTAGTAGAGAGCCAATGAGAACAAATCCCCTGCTCGCAAAGATGTTTCAGAGTTGCGTGGCACCGATTCGAAGCAGCATCACGTGAGTGCGCACTTAATAACGCGCCACGAACTGAGCCGGCGTTGGGAGAAGGCTCTTGGTCCGTGGTCGGCAAACTGCAGCTCATGAGCCACATGCGGCTCTTTGGCCCCTTGAGTGTGGCTCTTCCCCAAAATACCACGGCCTGGGCGAGTCTATTTTGAAGAAGCGGCGTTAGAAGAAGTTTAAGTTTAAAAATTTTGGCTCTCAAAAGAAATTTTAATCGTTGTACTGTTGATATTTGGCTCTGTTGACTAAGGAGTTTGCCAACCACTGCTCTTGGGTATGGCAATAGTTCCTCTGGAGTGCCGCACCACAATGCTGCCAACCGCAGGGAGTATGCTTTGCTGTGGCCCCATCATTTCCATGTCTGTCTAACCTCCCGGGACAAGAACCACCTGTCCCCCTTCCCACCACAAGATTGGGCCTAAGGAAACTTACAGTATACCCGACCTGAAAGAATTATACCGCAGCCAAGGCAAACCACATGTAGGAGGCCTCTCTCCGTTCCCTTCGCTGTCGTGTTGCTGTGTGACACTGTTAGGAGCTTGTGCCTCATGCCTGCTGAGGGGACGGGGAGAGGCAGGGACTAACTGAGGTGGTCCCTGCAGAGAGGCCCCTGCACAGATGTCCCCGTGGTGGGGCCAGAACATGGTGGCCAGTCACCTCCTGAGTGTGGATTTGGTTGGGGGGTAGAGAGGAGGGCTGGAATTTCCTGAAAATCGTCTTCAAAAGGATGTGAAAATCCTGGGCCTCTGCTTCAGTCTCTCCGCAGGTTTTCCTGGGGGCACTCCTCTTCTCTCTGCGTCTCTGACCGGCATTGGTAACTGGTTCCTGGGGTCAGCAGGCTCTGACTCCATCCGGGCGGGAGCTTTGTTTTTGGAGAATGGAGACGTCTTATCTCTTGGGTGACATAGGACATTTTTCATGTCTCTGTTGATTGACCTGCCTTGACGTTAATGACATATTCTTTAAAAACATGGGGCTGCTGGAGACCTGGGCAGGCAGGCCCGGGGCTCACCGCTGGCCCCATGCTGCTCTGTTTTGCAGAGGGTCTGAGCTGCATGAACAAGAACCACGGCTGCAGTCACATCTGCAAAGAGGCTCCCAAGGGCAGCGTCGCCTGCGAATGCCGGCCTGGCTTCGAGCTGGCCAAGAACCAGAGGGACTGCGTCTGTAAGTATAGACTGGTGCACACGGCTGGGCACCTTCCTGCCAGCATCAGAAATGCCTCCTCATGGCACCGCGGCAGCAGAGAAGGCAGTGGGCCTGAGACACTGGCCTCCCTGAGGGCTCTCACTGCATAAGGGTGGCCCCGAAAGGGAAGGGAAGTGGTGCTTTTTTATGGAACCAATCAGAAGGAAGTGGAATTCAGGAGTAAAGAGTGTGAGTGTTGAGGCCTGTGCATTCCCATTCCCACAGGATAAAATCAAACTTACTCCCCTGGGAGTCACGGTTCGTTTTTACCTGGACCCTGCTTCTCTTAGATGTGTCTCTGCCTCTCCTCGCCTTTCAGAGATCAGCCCATGTTCACTTAGGCCCACAAGCCTTTTCCCGGCACTCCGCCCTTCCTGGCTTGGTGAACTCTCGCTCAGCTTTTAATATCCTGCCTAATGTCTAATTATGACAAGGGTAGTGGCTACCTTTGGGGCGTGGGCATTTATTATGTGCAAAGTCTCGCCCAAAGATGTATCACATCCCATTTATTTTAAAAAAATATATTTTTGTTGATTTCAGAGAGAAAGGGAGTGAGATAGATAGATAGATAGAAACATCAATGATGAGAGAGTATCATTGATTAGCTGCCTCCGGCATGCCCCCTACTGGGATTGAGTGCGCAACCTGGGTACATGCCCTTGAACAGAATCGAACCCAGGAACCTTCAGTCCACAGGCTGATGCTCTATCCACTGAGCCAAACCAGTCAGGGCATCATGTTCCATTTAATTCTTACAGTCACCATGCTAGGAGCTAAGCATTATTCTCATTTTTAGTTGAGAAAATTGTGGAGATGGTAAAGCGACAAGGTCACGCGGGGAATGAGTGAAAAAATTAGGATTCAAGTGCGGGTCCGCCTCCCTCTGGGGCCTGCACTCTTAGTCGCCGTGTTCTCCTGCCTCTGAATCCTCCCCGGGGCCTCCCACGGCAGACTCACGCGTAGGGTTTTTAGATTGTGTATTTATGTGTGTCTGCCCAACTATTAGTCCCTCCAAGTCAGGACTTTGTCTTACTTTTGCCTCTCAGTCTTCTCCTGGTGCCTACCACAGGCTGTGCTCGAGCCACATCCTTTCCATTAACGGATCGATAAATGGTGTGCACAGTCCAGACACAGCTGCCACACGATGGCGAAACACAGTAATAGAGCTCCCATGGATAGCAGGAAGCCACTGTCCCTTCAAGGTGTTCCTCAGCCGCCCGTTAGGCCAGCGGAAACGCTGCCGGTCCCTTCATGAACTCTGCCGAAAGCCGGCCCTTCTAGAAGCCCCTGCAGTTTGCTAGGGGGAAGTTTACAGGGAGTAGACTGCAGTGGTTAAGAGGCGAGGAGACAGTTGTTTGTTTTTTAATCTCTGCATTCCTTTTTATTTTTGTATTTTTTAAATTAAAATATTATATAAGTTTCAGTTGCACAGTATAATGGTTTGAGATGAGACAGCTTTGCTGGGGAGCGACTTCTTTTTCCACTGCCCCCATCACAAAGCCGTGCAGCCTGGAAGCCTGCGGCCCAGGGCTGGTGCCACCATCACAGACAAGTTCTGACAGGCTCCGGGGGGCAAAGGGGGCTGGGGGCCGCAGTGAGGCTGTCCCGGGGTGTCCGTAGCTGGGCAGAGCAAAGAGCACTGTCCTGGCTCCAGGTGTCTCCAAAGGAGGACCCAGGCCTCACAGGACCTGTGCGGGGAGTAGGGGGAGTCTCAGCCGGCCAGTTTCCCAGGGACCAGGAGAATCTCTGAAAGCTTATTTTTTTTTAAAATATCTATTTTATTGATTTTTTTACAGAGAAGAAGAGAGAGAGACAGAGAGTTAGAAATATTGATGAGAGAGAAACACCGATCAGCTGCCTCTTGCACCCCCCCCCCCCCAACTGGGGATGTGCCCCCAACCAAGGCATATGCCCTTGACCGGAATCGAACCTGGGACCCTTCAGTCCCCAGGCCGACACTCTATCCGCTGAGCCAAACCAGTTTCCGCAGAAAGCTTTTTTTTTTTTTTAAATGTAAAAAGTTTTTAAGATGCCACTGCTCAAATAATATTATAATTAGAAAAGATCCAGAATTCTGCCACGTCACCAGATGTTTCAGTTTTTTCATTTTCCCACTTAGTTGTTCACATGCACGACACAATATTGATATGACCATGTTCAAAGAACAATCTCCTACATCACAAATATTCAGTCCGTTCTCTTAGATTAGAGAAATCGCAAATGCTTATGTAAGAGTTCAAACAGTCCAAGACGTCTAAGACCTTCTCCCTCTCGTTTCCTTTGTTAGAGGTAACCACTGTTCTGTTGGATGAGAGATGGCGGCGGCGGCTGCTGCTGCTGCTGCTTCTTCTTCTTCTTCTTCTTCTTCTGGCTTGTCATTAATACATTCATCCATAGTCTATGTAATTACTGCTTAATATTGCATTAATTATGTGCAAGGAATCATCCTTTCCTCTTCTTACCCCCCTTTCCTAACTAACCCAGATGGAATCCGATTTGAGCACATACGTACAAATTAAATATTATCTGCTCCAGACGCAGAGTGATGGTGCACCCCCCAGAGCCGCGTGCCGCTGCGTGTCTATGCAAACTTCTCCCCACAGAGCAGAGCGGCAGTCTCAATAATTTCCCTTAAACAGTGAAAATCCCCACCCACCCCACCATCTTCACCTACGATATAACTTTGCACAGACCTGTCATTCAGCATTTCTCCATTTCGCACTGTGACTACCTGTTCATCTAGACAGAGATAAGGTCTGGGTCAGGCTGGCTCTTTCACGCACGGAGCCTGGCACGCACTCTCTCTGTCGTGCTCATGTCCTGACTGACTGAGAAGCAGAGTTTTCTGGAGCAAACACAGCCCCGATGACGGAAATCTCAGTGCTTTATGTATGGACACGTTTTCCTCTCAGTGACTTGTAACCATGGAAACGGTGGGTGCCAGCACTCCTGTGAGGACACTGCTGAAGGCCCAGAATGCAGCTGCCATCCACAGTACAAGATGCACACCGATGGGAGGAGCTGCCTGGGTGAGTGGTGACCCCCATACTGGGTGAGGGTCTATCCCAGCCTGCCCATCCCTAACCCTAACCCTGACCCTACCCCTTATCCTCACTCTACCCCTAACCCTAACTCTAACCCTAACCCTCACCCTCATCTTAACCCTAACCCTCACCCTCAGCCTTACCCTCACCCTCATCCTACCCCTAATTCACTCTAACCCTCGCCCTCATCCTCACCCTCACCCTATTCCTAATTCTAACCTTCACTCTCACCCTTACCCTCATCCTAACCTTAACCCTCACCCTCACCCTAACTCTCACCCTAACCAATTATTAATGGTGTTTAGCACCAGATGCAGATATTTGCAATGCATTTGGCCCCGAATGGGTCCTGTGCATGTGGCAGTGGGAGTGGTCTAGGGTAAAGGATCCTCTCTCTCCATCTGCGACTTTTCACCTCTCCTGAATGAGGCTCCTCCTGAGGAGACTGAACAGCACACGCCAAGGGGCTAGGGCAATGCCAGGCTGAAGCTGCGGGGACGACAAAGTGGCCTCTGTGGTCTGCGGGAGCCAGGACTGCCTATGCCGGGTGGGACGCCTGCCCAGTCTTGCATGGCGTGTCCCTGGCTGGGCTGAGGGCCCTGGCGTGAATCTGAAGCTTGCATTCTCTGGCGTCTCTTTGGTCAGTGCAATAGGCTTCAGAAATCTTTCCATATTATTCACCAAGGCTCTGCACGCTCTGAGCGTGCTGCGTTTCCCACAGCGCCTCATTACCACACATTGTTATCGAGTGAACAGGCGCATTTCTCACATTGTTCCCACGTCTGGGGTTTCAGCGGAAGTGGTTGTGCAGGGGATGAGTAATCTGACTCTTTTCTTGTAGAGCGAGAGGACCCTGCCCTGGAGGTGACAGAGAGCAATGCCACATCTGTGGCGGACGGGGATAAACGGGTGAAACGGCGGCTGCTCATGGGTAGGCAAGATCCCTCACCCTCGCTCCATGCCCACGCTCATTGTCCATTTCCCTCCCAATGTACCCCATCGGGCCTGAACCTGGGACCCATGTGCCCTCAGACTAGCTGGACTGGGGTCAGCAGTTCCTGTCAAGCCGGGGTCTATCTGATCTTCACCCACCACTGTTTAGTCATCGCCAAGACCGTGGTGTTGTGGGAAGAGCACCAGCCCAGCCATCAGAATAACTGGGCTAGTGTCCCAGCGCTGCCCCAGCTAACTGTGACCCTGGGCACACTGCCCTGAGCCTCGTCTCCCTTTAGTCTTTCTTTACAAAACATGTACTAGGACCTACCTCGTAGGGTTGTCAGGAAGCTCAGTTAAGATAATAATATGCACAAGTGCCCAGAGTCCAATGCCTGAGACCTAGTGGGTGTGCAGTAACATGCGGTTACTCCGAATGGCAGTTCCCATCCTTCTCGGCAACTGTGAGCAGAGAGGCGTGTCAGGCAGCCCCTCGCGCAGCATGCTGCTGTGTCTGTTATTTTTGTCCGCTGCATCTCCTCTTTCTGACTGCAGCCATGTTAGCGTCAGGAGAGGTGAATTGATGTTTCTCTGTCTCTCTCTTCCTTTCTGAAATCAATTATATATATATATATATATATATATATATATATATATATATATATATATATATATATATATTTAAAAAGACTTAATAAGGACTACAAGGCTTATAAAGAGATACATCATGTCCTTGTTTCCTAACTCACATTTTCTTTAGCCCATTTGCCAGAGGCAATGATTTTTAAAAATATACATATATTTTATTGATTTTGTACAGAGAGGAAGGGAGAGAGATAGAGAGTTAGAAACATCGATGAGACAGAGTCATCGATCAGCTGCCTCTTGCACACCCCCTACTGGGGATTATGCCCGAAACCAAGTTACATGCCCTTGACCGGAATCGAACCCGGGACCTTTCAGTCCCCAAGCCGACGCTCTATCCATTGAGCCAAACCAGTTTCGGCAATGATTTTTTAAAAAATGTATTTTTATTGATTTCAGAGAAAAAGAGAGAGGGAGATATATATATATATATATATATAAATGATAAGAAAGAATCATTGATCAGCTGCTTCTGCATACCCCACACAGGGCATTGAGCCTGCAACCTGGCATGTGCCCTGACCAGGAGTTGAACAGGGCCTGGTTCATAGGTCAATGCTCAACCACTGAGCCACATCAGCCAGACAACTTTGTTAAATACTATTAGTACTGCACTCATATCTTCCTCCTCTCACCTGTGTTAGCTCTTCTTTAGGAAGCTAACTGCCTTTTTCTTACCTCCTTGTCAGAAACGTGTGCTGTCAACAACGGAGGCTGCGACCGCACCTGCAAGGATACCTCGACCGGTGTTCACTGCAGCTGTCCGGCGGGATTCACGCTCCAGCTGGACGGGAAGACCTGTAAAGGTGCCTGTGCCTCTCCGTGCTGCGAATGTGTGGGGATCGAGGCAGCTCTTCTCCTCACACCCCCTGGACTGACTCCAGACTGGCTCATGATTCATATTGATACAAGCCATTCTCCCCTGGCTAGGAGAAGGTTATAATTGAGTGAGCTTAATTAGAACCATCTTAATTGCACTAACGGTTGAGGAGGTCAGCTTCTACGTGTATCACACAATCCATTTCAGTCCATGGCCTTATTAGACAAAGGCAGAAGTTCAAGGGAACATTTGTAGGAGATACTATCAACATATCATAAATAACAGCCTCGAGATTATGTAAATAACAGCCAAGATTGTTATCCAGAGAACTTAATTAATAACTGTGCCTTTAACTTTTACTGATAAATAGAGACCCTAATGACCTACTAGTATTTCATGGGCAAGACTACAAAGGCTTAGTTCTTCAACATGATAAACAGTAGGTAACTAGTTATCAGATGAAACTTAGAACAGATAAGATTTATTTGAGTATCAGGAATCATTTAAAAGCATTAAGGCTATTTGATTGTTGTGTAATTTGCCAAAACAAATGTTCTATTTCCTTATGACTTTAATGATTAAACTGGAGTGGAAAGTATACCAGAGGGAGCCACCTTATCTTTTTTTATTTATTTAATATATATATTTTATTGTTTTTTTACAGAGGAAGGGAGAGGTATAGAGAGTTAGAAACAATGATCAGCTGCCTCCTGTACACCCCCTACTGGGGATATGCCCACAACCAAGGTACATGCCCTTGAACAGAATCAAACCTGGAGCCCTTCAGTCTGCAGGCTGACGCTCTATCCACTGAGCCAGACCAGTTAGGGCGAGAGCCACCTTATCTCGAGAGAGCAGTGCAAGGATGAGAATAAAACAGGACATTGCCATTCTTTCCCATCGATTGTTTTCTAATGCTGGTCAAGGGCAGTGTAAGTCACAGTTCTCAAGGGGTCTAGGTTCTTGTCTTTCACGATTGGTTAAGCCAGACCAGAAAACACTTGTAAGATTGAAAACACCAGCGAACATTCTAAAGTGCTTCTATGGGTCTGTTTTTGTTTCAGGGAATCATAAACTACACACAGTAGTACTTCAGGGACTTGTGGAAAACAAGGCAGGTATTGCTGTCTGATTTGCCGATGCTTGCCTGTTACAGATATTGATGAGTGCCAGACCCGCAATGGAGGTTGCGATCATTTCTGCAAAAACACCATGGGCAGTTTTGACTGCAGCTGCAAAAAGGGATTTAAATTATTAACAGATGAGAAGTCTTGCCAAGGTATGTGCTGAAACATAACTGTGCTGTGCCGGGCCCCGTGGTTGGAGTAGAGAAAACGAGACCCTGCCCTGGCAGACACTGGCTCGCTGGGCTTCTCAGCCGAGTCATTAATCCCACCTCCAACCTGTGCCTCACTGAATTCATCTACCCTGTTTCCCCAAAAATAAGACAGTGTCTTATATTAATTTTTGCTCCCAAAGATGCGCTAGGTCTTATTTTCAGGGGAAGTCTTATTTTTCCATGAAGAAGAATATGGTACACATTTATTGTTAAATGAAAATAAAGGAAATTTATTACAGACAAACTGTAAATCCCTACAGTATCAAGAATTTACTCATTTATTCAATGACAATCATGTCATCATCTTCTGGAACATCAGCATAACAATCCAATTCCTGAATTTCCTGGTGAATTTCTTGTGACTCCATTTCTTTCAGAATCAGTGGACCAAATCTCTCATGTTTAGCCTAGGGGGGCCTTATTTTCGGGGGGATGCCTTATATTTCACTCAGAAGGAAACTTGTAAGAAGGTCTTATTTTCGGAGGATGTCTTATTTTCGGGGAAACATGGTATTAGGTAGAATGAAGTCACGGATATATTTTGGAAATTAGTCTGCGAATGACTAGAGAATACTTCAGAGAACCGACGTGGTGTGATGGGAGCAGAGATCTAACCTGATGCTAGAGATGCATTGGATCACAGGATGCAAATGGTTGCATTAGGATGTTGAGATTATGAAAATTTCCCCTTTTTTAAAGTTTCTTTTAATGTTATGGATTTTATTAAAAAAAATTTTTTTGATGACAAAATATGTAGATTTAGTTAACATGCTTTTTCCCAGCAAAATCTTGGGGTTAACCCATAATCAAGGTCATGAACTAGTTGGTCTCTTCATTGTAGCCCTTGTTTGTAGTCTTTTGTGCTTGGGGAGAGGAAGGGAGGGGTTTGAGTAGAGGAGAGGATGGTGGGTCCTTGGGCAGGAGTGCTGATCCCTTCTCAGATGCATCCCTCCCACATAAGGGGTGCAGCAAGGAACTTCTCTGGGTGACAGTTATTAATATTATAACTGTTTGGGGTGGTGGTAAGTTCTTTGGGGCAGGGACACCATTTAGATTTTCAGGAAGAAGCTCTCCAAAAAGACCTGCTATTGTTTATTCCTGTTCCATTTCCAGAAATAAGAATGACCTAACTTAATTTTGTTAGAAATCCCAGAATTTTAAATAAAAATCAGAATATGATCTCTGTCTTCACTTCAGATACCGAAGATGTAACATTACCTTTTTTTTTTTTTAACCTTAGAGTGTGAATTAGGTTTCTTTCTTGGATTTTTCTTCTTAGGCAATGCAAGCATCGTTGTCCCCTTTAAATTCAGTGGGTTCATTCTAGACCATAACTGCGTGGTTTTCGTCCATTTGGCTTGGAAAGCAAATTTGCTGTTCTACATAATGTTTCATAACGTATAGAGCAAGAAATACTGTTTAAGCTGTGTAAACACATTAAAAGGGAATTAGAAAAGTGATCTCATTATTCTTGGCAAAGTGAAAGCCCGTTGTGAGCAGCCAAAGTCAGCTACTGGAAGAGTCTACTTTCCCCACAACTGGCTGATGTTAATAACAGAATTCATAGAGTGACATCAATTACATGGGAAGAAACAGACTTTTCCTCATTTTTCACTGATCAGTCTTGGTAGAACAAATATTTGCACAGAACAAATTTGCTGAAGAGATTTCTGGGAAAAGCTAGGGAAGAAGAGGTGTTGCGAGAATTTGCCCTTTTTATTTCATTTATTTTTATTCTTCTAGCCCTTCCAAATGTTTGTGTTTTTATTAATGTAGCTTCTCGGGGCACATCTGGTGTTGAAAAGAGGTCTAGCAATGGTCTACTTGGCTCCCATGGAATTCTGCGCTGGTCCTGGTTTATTATCCATTTGGAGACACAAATCGTAACTCTGTCAGAGCCCTCCGAAGAGCTGAGGAAGTGAGCTCTGAAATTATAGTCTACAGGGAAGAGGTAGTCTTGAGGCTAGTTTTCAGGACCTCAGCTGAAGCCAGGGACGCCTCTACTGAACCAGGATGGGAGGAGGAACAAAGCCAAGGGATTGGCCAAGAGGAACCAGCGTGGAGCTTACGCACCAAATGTCAGTGTCTGCAATAGGGAAATTACTGAGGACGTTGGTGTTAATGTGTTCCTTTAGTGCAGAAGGCATTAAAACCCAGGATCAACTAGTGCAGAGGGCATTAAAACCCAGGGTCAACTGGCCTTCCGTGGCCAGAAGACTCCTTCGGGGAAGATCAGAAGGAGAGGAACCAGAGTAATCTCCAACACAAGTGTGCTCTCCTTTCAATTTGCCCTAGCTTGTGGAATTACCACTGCTGTTTAGTAATACAGCAACAAGAATGCATAGGCTGCACCTTACCTTTTACAAACCCTTTTAGGTATCTTACCTCATTTACATATTTTAAATTAGCCAGCTCCGTGAATAAACATGGGTGAGATGGAGCAACTGAGCTCACAGGCAGTGCAATTTGCAACAGAATTTGGAAAGAAGGGTCCTGGCAGGGAGTATACTTATTGTGGGCTGCTCAACACTTAAAAAACAAAACAAAACAAAACAAAAACAAAACAAAACCACACACACACAAGTGAGTGGGAGAACTCCTAGGTAATGTTTTATTCGGTTTGTGTTGTTTTCTCCAGCAACTGGTTTATTATAAATGTGTTCTCGCCTCGCATCCCTGAGAGTTGGTCTCAGGTGCCCTCTCCCTTTACAATTACAGATGTGGATGAATGCTCCTTGGATAGGACCTGTGATCACAGCTGCATCAACCACCCTGGCACATTCACATGCGCCTGCAACAAAGGGTACACCCTCTATGGCTTTACCCACTGCGGAGGTGAGCAGAGCATCCTCGAAGTCAGAGACTGGGCCAGGAGAGGAACAGGGCTTACTTCTAAAGTGTCCCCAGCATTGCCGAAACTGGTTTGGCTCTGTGGATGGAGCGTCAGCCTGCGGACTGAAGGGTCCTGGGTTCAATTCCCGTCGGGGGTGTGTGCCTTGGTTATGGGCACATCCCCAGGAGGGGTGTGTGGGAGGCAGCTGATCGATGTTTCTGACTTTCTATCCCTCTCCCTTCCTCTAAAAAATCAATAAGATATATATATAAAAAATAAATAAAGTGTCTCCAGCAGATGAGGGCCAGTTTTCCAACATTGGGGGATGAACCGGACGTTTCAGTCGGTGTGCAATGGCATTGAATCCATCAACTCAAGGGAAGCATCTGCTAATGGACACTCTCCACCCCCCCGCCCCCCATTTATCCCTTTAACATTTCAAGTGTGATATGAAGCAGAAGAGCTAAGCTCTTCAGCTGTGAATTCTTTATTGGCTGTATTGAGATGGCTGTATTCAGAGAATGGAGAATTGCTCAGGAGCTGATACCCTATCCATTGGAATTTCCCAGCAGATCGTAAAGTCGCTCGGCCGGCCACCAGCAGTTCCACTGCTTTGTAGTACATAGGAACGGACTGCAAAGCCTGATCCAGCCCTTTGAGCTGCTCTGTAAGCAGGTCTTTTTTTTTTTAATATATTTTTTTTTATTGATTTTTTACAGAGAAGAAGGGAGAGAGATAGCTAGAAACGTCAATGAGAGAGAAACATCGACCAGCTGCCTCTTGTACACCCCCTACCGGGGATGTGCCTGCAACCAATGTACATGCCCTTACCCGGAATCGAACCTGGGACCTTTCAGTCCGCAGACCGACACTCTACCACTGAGCCAAACCGGCATCAGCTGTAAGCAGGTCTTTGAGCTGGAATCTGGGCCACTAACTATCTCTCTGCCCTGTGCCCAGGCAGCAACAGGTCCTGATGTCATTTGCCCTTCTGGTCAAGGAGACAACATGGCATAGGTCAGATTTGGCACCAAATGACTCCCCCTCCGCGCCCCTGGTCAGCTGGCTCATTCAGCGGTCTTTGAGAACACAGATTTAGGTTCTGACTCAGCATATCTGGGGCTGCCGAGGTGGTTCTGAGGGTCTGAGGATCTGGGAGCCACTGGCCTAAATAATCCCTGCTCAGTGTTTGCATCCTGTGCTTAAGAAGAATGGATAGTAGCGATTTGCTCTAGACAGTGTTCTCTCTCTTCTCCTTTCCAATACATTCTTGGCACAATTGAAAACCTTCTCTTCTAGCCCATCAAGAAATCCCACGGGTATATTCCTTGAATCCGGGTGTGTGTCTGGGTTTTGGTTAGAGCCACCTCTGACATGGACTCAGTCTCAGATTGATGGAGATCAGTGCAGCTCATTTTCCTTCTCTAGACTTCAGCTCCATGAACTGTCGGGGGGGTCTTGGTTGTCTATTTCCCTTGGAATGTAGCTCATGGGGATGGTGGGGTTTTAATTTGGAAGCCTGTGCAGCATGTGAGTTTGAGCATCCGAAAGTAGGGTGTGACTCTTTCTGAGCGTCCCTAATCAGGGAATGGTTTGGTCAAGAATGGAACTCGAGGCTGTCCTGACGAGGCTCATGCCAGGAAATCCAGGGAATGGAGAGCGGGGTCAGTTGGTGCCAAGCACACATCCTAAAGGCACTCGGCACCTGCCGTTTGTTTAGTGCACATGTGTCAAACACAAGGCCCGCGGGCCAAATCCGTCCCGCCAGGCCTTGCAATGTGGCCCGCACCGCGCTGTCATCACTGCACTCCGCTGCGTTTCCATCACAATGACAGTTTATGACTGTTCAGTAAACCATTCGGCCTGCGATTTAGGCTGGATTTTAGATTTTGGCCCCTTTTCTGATTGAGTTCGACATCCCTAGTTTAGTGAGTTTCAACCACATGACTCCCCTCCCGCTCCTTCTTCAAAGGAAGGATGGTGCCAGCAGGTCGGTGAGGGGCTGCTGTGACAGGAGCTGCTGTGTTTTGTTCCCCAGACACCAACGAGTGCAGCATCCACAACGGAGGCTGTCAGCAGGTCTGCGTGAACACGGTGGGCAGCTACGAATGCCAGTGCCACTCCGCATACAAGCTCCACTGGAACAAAAAAGACTGTGTGGGTAAGAGGCACCGTGGCTTGGGCAGCCAGCGAACTCCCACCGGCCAGCTGCACTCGGCGTGCTGCTGGCCGTCCCTCCCGGGAAATGTTTCCCCCTCAGCTATAGCAGCCACTCCTTACAGAGTTCAAAAACAGGAGATACTTTGCAGGCTCTTTGGTGTTGCCTTCTGTGCTTCTGGCGTAGGTTTATGCTCGCTTCTTGTTTTTCTGGTTGCTTTTATGCATGGGGGGGAAAAATAGCATACAAATAGCTCCTGTCCCTTCCTGGGGAACAGTGCCCGGTGTCTTGTGTTCTATGCTGGGGGTCAGCTTTCCCTTCTTTTCTTGGGCCTTTGCTGCATGGGACCCAGCCGTCTTGGTCACACCTGGAAGCGTCCTTCTGTGTCTGTGAATGTCTGTATTTTGTCCTGCCTAGAAGTGAAGGGGGTCCTGCCCGCTAGTGTGTCACCCCAGGTGTCCCTGCAATGCGGGAAGAGTGGCCGAGGAGACAGGTGCTTCCTCAGATGCCACTCCGGCATTCGCCTCTCTTCAGGTGAGTGGTCCCTGGGGCAGGTCCTCATGCCAGGCCCAGGCCTTCCTGGCCTTGAGGTGTTGGCTGCCCTCAAAGGGATCCCTCCTACCCCAGCCACTGGAGGGATCCCTCCTGCCCCACATGCTGGGTGTTTGTCTCTCAGGGTCTGTGTGGCGTGAGGGTTGGGGGTGACCTTAGCAGCTATCAGGAGGGACTGTGCCTTGTTACCATGTTGACCATCCACATTCTGTCTGTCAGGACTGCAAGAGGCCTACTCTGTCACCTGCGGCACTTCCCCTCCTCTCAGGAACAAACAGCAAAAATCAAATGGCTCTGCTTTCGGGGGTAATGACCGAATCTGCGTGTCCTCTCCGGGGCTCATGGTGTTCCGTGGGCTTCACTCTGGGGTGCTGTTCCTGGGGGCTGGCTTTGTTTTTTTTTCTCTTTGTCTCCTCGAGGCCGTGAGCGTGTCACAGGATGCTCTGGCCTGTAGCCTTGGTGCCTGCACTCCCACATACCGTGTGACAGACACGTACTGTGTCCGCTGTGTGGTGGGCGGCTCTGTGCTCAGCCGTGCTGGGCCCTCCTATTGGGCAGAGGCCTGCAGAGCCCTGGGAGCAGAGACTTAGGTCTCCCACACTCCCCTACCCTGGAGCACCCCAAAGGCCCAGCGGGAAAGTGTGCCTCGGTGGAGATAGGCGTGGGTATGACAGGGGGAGCAAGAGTTCTGTCCAGAGAAAGGACCCCAAACCCTTTTTGCTTTTGTCAAAGCAAAAGAACGAAATTCGAAGCTTTTAGGCAGCTTCCTCTTCCCAGATTTAGACATCTCTGTGATGAACGAAGAAATGGTTCTTGATGTCCGTGTTATCGAATATATACACGAGCAAAGCTAAAGCCCAAAGCAGGACACTAACCGCTCGCATCTGCTGATCAAATGGTTAAAACATGCCACCCACCGTATTACATGTGTTAGCTGATTTAATCCACCTCACAGCCCTCTAGGGCAATTTGGCTATTATTCTCATTAGCCAGATGAAGAGCTGAGGTGCAGAGAGGCGAGATAACGTACCCAGAGTGGCTCAGATAGGAAATACCGGAGCCAGGGTTTTGACCAGGCCGCCTGCATCCAAAATCTTAAGCTTTCTCCTTTCCCGTTCTACAATACTTGCCTAACATTTGGACCAGCCAGAGCAGACATCCTGGTGTGTGTTTCACCAAACCCCTCAGGGATGGTCACTTGGAGATTTAGGCCAAAGATGGGCAAGCAAATAGTTCACAATTCTTTCTCTGTATCAAATAGTAGGCTGAACTTTTTTTTTTATGTATGCCCTTTTCTTTTTCTTTTTCTTTTTCTTTTTCTTTTTCTTTTTCTTTTTCTTTTTCTTTTCTTTTCTTTTTAAATATATTTTATTGATTTTTTTACAGAGAGAAAGGGAGAGGAGAGAGATAGAGTTCGAGAAACATCAATGAAAGAGACACTGACCAGCTGCCTCCTGTACATCCCACACCAGGGATGTACCCGCAACCAATGTCATGCCCTTGACCGGAATCGAACCTGGGACTCCTCAGTCCGCAGACCGATGCTCTATCCACTGAGCCAAACCAGTTTTGGCAACTTTTTTTTTTTTTTTTTTTTCATTATCTCAGTCTTCACAACAGCCTGGTAATGTAGGTCCCATAATTATGTCTATATTTTTGTAGATGGGAAAACTGAGAACCAGGGAGATTACATTCTCATCACAAATTGAGAAGTTAGAGTTTGAATCCTCGTCACTGGCTCCAGAGCCTCACATGTGGTTAAGACTGACCATGGGAGGAGAGGAGAATTCTGCACATGAGGCTCTCAAAGTGAGGGCCTCCAGATCCTGAAAATCCGAGCCATGTTTAGTGAGTGCATTCAGTGGGGACTGGTGGCCCCAGCCCTGTCCTCCCAAGCAGCCTCATTTAGAGAATCTGCCCTTCTCCATGTTCTCCAGCAGCCTTGTCCAACTTTTTGAGCTAGGGGATTTTGGTCTGTCTTGGGAAGGCATGGAAAATGAACTCTTTTTAAAAAAAATCTCACTGTTGAGGTAGTTTTGGGCACCTTATTCATCTCAGATGGACGAGTGGCAGTTCTTAGGCAGCTCCTGGGAACAGAGTGTTGCCATCACCTGTCAGCCCCAGGTTATGGGCGCCTCAAGGTCCAAACCTTTCTTGGGCTCGTGGTGAGAGAGGAGCTCAGGGTGTGCAGCGTGCGTGTGGGGGGACCCAGCCAATAGGCAGCTCTCCGTACCCAGCTGGTGTTTCCCTTCCTTTGCCTCTGAAGGTAACCTCTCCCACTTGTTTCTTTCTGAAGATGTCGCCACCATCAGGACAAGTGTAACCTTTAAGCTAAATGGAGGCAAGTGTAGTTTGAAAAAGGCTGAGCTGTTTCCCCAGGGTCTGCGACCAGCACAACCAGGTACGGAACCAGGTGGCCAGCGCAGGGAGCCCGCCTGTGTGTGGGGAAAGGGGCCGTGATCAGCTCGAGCCCTTCAGATGGGGCCCAGCAATCCAGAATCTCCAAGGACTGTCTGCCCAGGAGGAAGAGGGGCCGAGCCTAGTGTCCCGCGTAGTTCTGGGTTAGACCTCGGCACCTCCTTTGCGAGGTGCAGGTTGGGGAGCTCCGGGGAATCCTGGGAGTTCACAGGAACCGATAAGGGCTCTCAGATGCACTGGGTTAAATTTCCCAGATCTCCAAGTTTGCTCGAAATATAAGCCAAAGAAATGAAAAGAGCTTTGGCTCGGAGAGGATAATCTGTGATGAACAAGGGTGGAATATCCAGCTTTCCTGCTGGATCTGGTTTCTGGAGGCTTCCGCAGAGCAAACACTATCCAATTGGCCTTATTGAGGAGAGCAGGGCCCAAACCCCCTCTTCTCCCACAGCTCACATTTCCAGGATTGTTTCGTAAAAATAATTTTAGAGGGTACAAAAATCAGAGTTCAAGTGTAAGGGAGGCCTCTTTCCCCAATCTACCCTCAAGTAAATCATGCAAACAAATGAATACACAGCTTACTGTAGTCACTTTGGACTGCCTTTAAAAAATTTAAAAAAAAAATAAAATATATATATATATATATATGTATTATTGATTTTTTTTACAGAGAGGAAGGGAGAGAGATAGAGAGTTAGAAACATTGATGTGAGAGAAACATCGATCAGCTGCCTCCTGCACAACCCTTACTGGGGATGTGCCCGTAACCAAGGTACATGCCCTTGACCAGAATCGAACCTGAGACCTTTCAGTCCTCAGGCTGACGCTCTATCCACTGAGCCAAACCGGTTAGGGATGGACTGCCTTTTTAAAAATATATATATTTTATTGATTTTTTTACAGAGAGTTAGAAACATCGATATGAGAGAAACATCCATCAGCTGCCTCCTGCACATCCCCTAACCAAGATAAGTTTTGGTACCTCCATGTAAGGGAAGATTATGCAGCTATTAATTATATGTTCCAAAGAATATTTAATGACATAGGAAAATGTTCTTGTTATAAGATGGAAAATGGGGGAGTAACACTTTGTATATCTAATACAACCCAGATTGTGTAAACAAAAAGAAGGTAGGTGGAAAAACCCCTCAGCATGTCACTTGTACTGGTTATATCTGCGAGGGAGGATGATGGGTGGTTTCATTTTTATTTTCTTCTGCATTTTCCAAATTCTCCACAGTGGGCATTTATACTTTTAGATTAGAAGGAAAAAATGTTATTAAAAAATAGATTTGGTTTTTAGATTACTTAATGGTGTTGTACTAATGTTAGTTTCTTAGTTTTTATAAATGTACATGTTTGTTTAAACATTTATTTAAAATATATTTTTATTGATTTCAGAGAGGAAGGGAGAAGGAGAGTGAGATAGAAACATCCATGATGAGAGAGAATCATTGATTGGACTGCCTCCTGCACACTCCCTACTGGGGATTGAGCCCACAACCCGGGTATGTGCCCTTGGCCAGAATGGAACTGCAGGCCAATGCTCTATCCACTGAGCCAAACCAGCGAGGGCTAAATGAACATGTTGATGGAAGAAGTTAGTTAACTTCAGGGGAGCCTTGGTGAAGAATAAATGAAAACTCTCAGGGTTATCTTGACAACTTTCCTATAATTCTAAACTTACTTCAAAACAGAAAGTTAAAAAAAAAATTGACATGGAAAATTGAAAGGGAGAAATAAACATCTGTTTACTTAGACATTTAAAGTTAACCTTTCGGAAAAAGTACAATCGATCTTAGGGGAAATATATAGAGGGCACATTGAATTGGCCTTTTTCTTTCTTTGGCTCCTGGTGAATGGTTGAACTTCGAACACCCTTGTAATGTTAAAGAAGAATATGATACAGATGATATGTAAGTTCAATAAAGCAAGATTTTAAATAGAGACAATTCAGTTGTGCGGATGATACATGGCTCAGCTCTTTGATTCGGGTGAACAATCATTAGTTAGCCCGGCCGGCCGTTGTGGCTCAGTGGTTAGCATTGATCAGGAAGTCACTGTCCAATTCCCAGTCAGGGCATATGCTCAGGTTGCAGACCCCAGTGTGGAGCATGCAGGAGGCAGCTGATCGATGATTCTTTAGCATCATTGACATTCTCTCTCTCCCCCCCTCTCTTCCTCTCTGAAATCAATAAAAAATATATATTTAAAAAAACAAAACAATTTAAAAGATTCCCTGGAAGCTACAGGTGGGGGTTGGGAGGGGTGAGGGGAGGGTGATGACAGCCAATGTCAGCCCTAGGGATGTTTAAAAAAAATCTCTGATATCAATAAAAATATATTTAAAAAATTTTTAAACAAAGTCAGCCCTGCTTTATCCCACACTTTCATTCCCATCCTAGAGGCCTTCATGACACTGTTCGGTTCTGTTGGGTCTTTGTGCCGTATATGGCTCCAGCTTGTTTCAAAACGAGACGTCACCGTTGATGTGCGTCACGGCTTCCCCTTTGGGTTGGAATTACTTCAAGGCCAGTTTGCCTGAAAGCAGGAGTCGGCTCCCTGCTTCCCACCCTGTGCTCACTCCTTATGTGAAGCCTCAGCCCCTTCTTGGCACATCCCAGTCCAGCGTTAAGGAAAGCAACTGTGAGAGCCGGAGTGCATGCTCCTCAGCAGACCCGCCCTCAGGAGTGGGAGGTGACCCTGGTCCCTGCCTGCCCCGTGTGTGGCTGATCAACCGAATGTATCCATGGGAATCATTTCCAAGGGCTCCGTTGTTAAGTTATAGAGGAGGCGATGCTGACTCTTCAACATCAAAATGTCATCGTGCTGCAGGCTGAGGGCTTTCAACGTCGTGGCATCTGGAGCTAATCACTTGGTCCCCCGAGAGTGGTTTTAATGAAATGTTTACTGAGCTCTGGCGAATGTTCGGAATTTGGCTCCCGATGGTTTTGTTTCTTCATGCAGAGAAGCACAGCTCAGTCAAAGAGAGCTTCCGCTACGCACACCTCACATGCGGCTCCCGCAAGCGAGTGCCCGGCGCCCCAGGCCGACCAAGCGCCGCTCAGGAAGTGTTTGTCACTGTTGAGTTTGGGCTTGAAACTAACCAAAAGGAGGTGACAGGTTGGTTTGAAAGCAGGCCACGGTGCCAGGCCTTTCACAGCTTGCTCCTTGTTCCTTTGCCTTTCACTTTCCATTCTTCCTGGGTGGGGGATGTAGTGCTACCACTGAAGTATCTCCTGTTTTCCCCCCCACCCCCAAACTAAAACCGAATTGGTTGGAAACCTGTTAGATTTATCTGCTTCATGAAAACCCAAAGCAACCATTTTGGTCAACAAATTTCTGTTGGTACCGAATGCTGCCCAGCCTGCTAGGTGCCCAGTCCAGGTCTCCCCACTCTGACCACAGGGGACTGGGGGGCCCTGCTCATCCTCTTGGCTGCAGCCGGCAGATCCCCCCCCCCACACACACACACCGCTGTCCTCTCGTTCCTGCAGCTGCTTGTGATCTGAGCTGCGTCGTGAAGCGCACAGAGAAGAGGCTCCGGAAGGCCGTCCGCACGCTCCGGAAGGCTGCCCACAGGGAGCAGTTCCACCTCCAGCTCTCCGGCACGGACCTCGAGGTGGCTAGGAAGTCCCCCCGAGCGTCTGAACGCCGGGCAGAGGCCTGCGGAGCGGGCCAGAGCCACCTCGGAAACCAATGTGGTGAGTGGCCCGTTGGCCAGCACATTCTTTAAGCAGAGCTGCTCACAGCTCCACAAACACTGAGGTACCAAACGTCTGGCCCCCTCTTCCCCTGACTGGGCTCACTCCAGAGAACACCCTGGCTGTCCCCTCCTTTGGGAACTACATGGTGGTGGTGTCTGGTGTGTGTGCTGGACCGGGAGCTCCCCAGCACCTGGCTTCGTGCCTGGGCTGGTGGTGGCACTTAGGAGATGTTTGCTGAATGGAGGGACAGAAGGGAAGAGGCAGGGATGACGAGAAGAGGGAGCGTTTCCCTGTTAGGGTCTGAGGGACAGTGGTCTTTAGATGACTGTGGTCTCCCCGCTGGGGCAGAACTGCAGGAATAAGGCACCAGGAGCCTTCTGTACACTCCCCTGTCAGAGCTCCCCTCCTGCCTCTGGCTCGGCTGGTGGTGGCAGCGCACCATCTCCTGCTCACAGTTTTGTGCAGAGGCAAGGCTGCCTCGTGAGATCCCTGAGCTGCAGCCCAAGGTTCCTCGTAGTGTCAGCCTCATGGATGTAGGTATGTGTGAGCGTGAATTAAACTTGAGATCTGGCGTTTGTGCAGCATCAGTTCTGTTCCTTTGATGACGTTCCAGGCAAGACGGACCTGGGCAAGAGGTTCTGGAGTGGCTGGTCTTGAGATTTGTTTGTTTCGAGAAACTGTGCTGGGCAATTGTGGGAGATTCCAGCTGAAAAGCCATGGATGAAAAACATTGGGAGACTCATTCTACAGTAACGATTTATGGTGCTGATGCATTGAGTTCTGACCTGGCCCAGGTACAACCCTTTGTGCTGCATTATCTTATTGGATCCTATTAGATATCTTACTGGGTAGGTACTGCCTTCACCTAAGAGCTACGCAAGATGGAGCTCAGAGGGTTAAGTTCTCTTGCTCAAGATCACTAGAATGGGCCGATTGCAAAGCCAGACCCTTCCAGAATAAACTGATGTCCTGTCTGAAGTGTCATTAGAATCACAAGTCTCTAGAAACGGAGCTTGAGCTGAGGAGTAATACATCCGTGACTCTGAAGAAGCAAAGCTGAACTCCCAGGTACACTCATTCAGGAGAATTGTCAGCAACAGCCCCACAGCCCAAATCTGTTGCTTTACCAAAACGTAGTAAATATCATGTATAAAATCAAGTGTAACTGTCCACCAGTGGCTGGTTCTCAAATAGTCTTGACTTTTATTCCAGCTGACTCTCTTAAAAAGAAGGAAAAAAAGAAAAAAGTAAACATAACACAGCTGGTTGGCTTGCTCTCATTTGAAATTCGAAAGTTCCAGTTTCTGTACCAAAATGGTGATGAGAGTTGGCTGTTGCTGCCCTACTTTCCAGGATGAGTTTCAGAAACGTTCAGGGATGGTCAGGCTGGGCCTCCTCCTGGCCCCTCGGAGCGAAACCCTCCCTCATTTCTCCATTGGCCACCTGTTAGGGAGAGGCCTGGTGGCTCGCCAGGAGCCTTTGTGTCCAGTTAACAATGTAGGGAAAACTAGTGTCAGGGCCTGTGGACCAGCTCCCAGTGAGAGTATTACCAACACTACTAAGTGTGTGCTTCTGGGGTGTAGAGACTCAGCATGAGGATCAGGAGTTGCTTAAACAGAGGCCTCATGGCCATGACAGCTTATGAAAGTCACTTGGCATGGGATGTATGCAGCTGGTGTAGGTGTGTGCATGTGTCCTGAGATGCTGGTCATGCTAAGTTAGGTTGGATTCATTGCTCAGGGAGGCAACGTATCCTGTCTCAAGAGCTCCTTCTAGCAATGGATGGGTTTTGTAGCCCACATGGGACCAAACCAGGTTCACCCTGTCGGCAGCAACGGTGAAGATTTAGAAGAAACAGCACAAAGAATTACTAGTGAAGCTCCTCCTGGAGGAAGGAAGTTGGTGCAAAGAGCTATTGGGTGTGTGATTAAAAAGGCTTTTTACCCAGTAGATTCATGGCACAAGCAAGCCACAGTGTGTGTGTGTGTATGTGTGTGTACGTATCTGTCTGTCCGTCTCAATTCTGGTCTATTTGATGGTATTAGAACTTTATAAGCACCAGGATTATTGGTATTTTCTGAACTAAGGATGGTACATACCATAGAGACAAACTTAAGGTAGTTCTTTTTTATGTAGAAGATGGTGGAAAGGGTATGAAGAACAGGAAGTGGTGAACTGTAATAGAGCCAGGGCATGGGGGAGGAGTAAGGAGGTGCATACTTTCCAAAATGTAGACTATAGTCTTGCAAAATGTCATTTGGGCAGAGATGTGAAGGACAGAGGAAGCAAGCCATGGGAATATCTAGAAGTCCCAGGCAAAGGCACCAGCAAATACAGAAATCCTGGCATTTGAAAGAAGGCCAGCTTGATGAGTGCTGAGGGTGGGGAGAAGGAAGAAGAGCAGGTCACCTGGGGAGTGGAAATGGTGGTGAGGACCAGGGACTTTGAACCTGAGAAGCGAAGCCAATGAAGGGTGTTGAGGAGAAGAATGACAGAGTTCTGACTTAAGTCTTAAAGGACAACTTTGGCTGCTTTGTTAAAAATAGAATATAGATGTATGTGTGAAAAATTTTTTTAAAAATGTGTTAGTATAATTTGAATAGTGTTTTGTGCTGTTTTTTAAAAAATATATTTTATTGATTTTACACAGAGAGGAATTGAGAGGGATAGAGAGCTAGAAATGTCCATGAGAGAGAAACATAGACCAGCTGCCTCCTGCACGCCCCCCACTGGGGATGTGCCCGCAACCAATGTACATGCCCTTGACCAGAATCGAACCTGGGACCCTTCAGTCCCCAGGCCGACGCTCTTCCACTGAGCCAAACCAGCTTCAGCTGTTGTGCGCCGTTTTTAACTAGAGTACATCACTATATCTTTCCATGCTAATAGAAGAGCTAACTTCTTTCTTTCTTTTTCCTCCTCCTCCTCTTTCTTCTCCTCCTCCTCCTCCTCCTCCTCCTCCTCCTCCTCCTCCTCCTCCTCCTCCTTCTCCACCTTCTCTCTCTCTCTCTCTCTCTCTCTCTCTCTCTCTCTCTCTCTCTCTCTCTCTCTCTCTCTCCCTCTCCTCCCCCTCCTCCCTCCCTCCCTCCCTCCCTCCCTCCCTCCCTCTCTCTCTCTCTCCCTCCCACCCCCTCTCTCGCTCTCGCTCTCTCTCTCCTTACCTGAGGATATGTTTCTTCTGATTTTAGAGAGAAAGGAAAGGAGAGGGAGAGAGAAACATTGATTGGTTGCCTCTTGTATGCTTCCCAAATGGGGATTGAATGCAACCTGCATATGTGCCTTGACTGGGAATTGAACCCACAACTCTTTCATGCAAGGAGGATGCTTCAACCAATTGAGCCACACTGGCCAGGCTAACTTACTTCTTTTAAAGCCTTCTAATCCTTTTTAAAAATACCAGTATTTATTAACCATATCAAATAGCCACTCTGTTGGCAGATGTTTTAATTATTCATATTTTTTAATTGCAAACAATGCTGCAATGAATATTCTTTTTTGTGCACATGGCCAATACTTCTAAAGGATAGACTTTTAGAAGTGCAATTGCTGGTTCAAAGGAAATGCATACTTAAAACTTTAATAGATACTGCCAAATTGCTCTCCAAAAATATCATACTAATATATATTCCCTCCAACATTGTAATTTAGTTCTTATTGCCTCACATCATTGCTAACATGGGTCAGTTAAACTGATCTTTTTAATTTTTGCAGATCTGATAAGCAAAAATGATGAAGTCATTTTATCTTGTTTTTCTTTGATCATTTGTAAGACTGAGCATGCTATCATATATCTGTGACCATTTGGATTTCTAGTTCTGAAAATATCCATATTTTTTTGCCTATTTTCCCACAGAATTATTTTTCTAATAACACTTAAAAAATAAAATTTAAAGTCCCAAATTACACCAAAGAACAGTCACTTCTGACCAATTAAATACTTTCTTATAGTCATTTTTATAGAGCAAAGTCTCATTAATTTGGCATTCTAGGACTTTGGGGACAGCCTGTTCTGCAGGTGACCTTTGTACCATCTGTGATCAATTTTAGCAAGATGGGGGGAAAAGAGACAGCAGTTATATTCTCCAAAGAACAAATTCCTTAAGTGCCATAATAATTCATAAAGTCCTTAATAGCTAAAGAAGAATTAATGATGACATGGATTTCTAGCTGTTTTTTTTTGTTCAGAGCTATTTATCCTTTCATTTAAAAAAATTAAGAAATATACTTGTGGTTGAAACCAGTTTGGCTCAGTGGATAGAGCATCAGCCTATGGACTGAAAGGTTCCAGGTTCGATTCCAGTCAAGGGCACATACTTTGGTTGCGGGCGTGCAGGAGGCAGCTGATAGATGTTTCTCTCTCATCCATGTTTCTAACTATCTCTTTCCCTTGCTCTCTGTAAAAAATCAATAAAATATATGTGTGTTTTTTTGTTTTGTTTTTGTTTTGTTTTGTTTTGTTTTAAAGAAATATACTTATGGTCTAGCCTGTGTGGTTCAGTTGGTGGGGTGTTCTCCCATGCACCAAGAGGTTGCTGGTTCGAATCTGAGTCAGGGCACATGTCAGGGGTTTAGACTTAATCCCAGTGGGGGGTGTGCAGGAGGTAGCTGATCGATGTACCACTCACATGGATGTTTTTCTTTCTCTCTCCCACTCTCTTCCTTTCTCACTAAATATCAATAAAAATATTTTTACAAAAGAAATACTAGTTACAGTGGGGAGGAGAGGAAGATCTGGGGGAGATAATAGATCAACCGAAGGACTTGTATACATGCATATAAGTACAACCAATGGACATAAAACTCTGGGGAGGGAGGGTATGTATGGGAGGGAGGGAGGGGGGCAAAAAAAATCAATAAAATATATTTAAAAAAAGAGAAATACTATGATAGTATGCTTGCTACTCTACATATTTTTCTATTTGAGTATTCTTAAAACTTGTTGAGATTTTTAAAAGACACAATCTAGGCAACTGAGAAGCGGGGAAATATTTTAGTGC